TCAAAAGATTGTCCTTCATGGTAACTGAAAAACCTTTCTCAATTAATTGTCCCACACTCATCAGATTGCTTCTGATGCCAGGTACATACCACACGTTCTGAATCAATGCTGTTTTCCCATTGTTCAGAATCACTCTGACATTTCCCATACCTTCTGCATTAAGATATTTCTCATCAGCACATCTGATCTTTGTTCTCTTTTCAGAGTCAAAGTCAACCAGCCATTTCTTGTTTCCAGTAAGATGATTTGAACAGCCAGTGTCCATATACCACCAGTCTGTCAGATCATCAGATTCAAAGGCCATCAATAGCACAGATTCGTCATCAGAACTTCTGGCTATATTTGCTTCTTCTGATTTTCTCTCCTTGTTTGACCAACAATCTCTAGCAAAGTGACCAAACTTCGTACAACAGTAACATTGGATCTTCTTCTTGTCATACTTCTCTTTTCCCTTCTGAGCATTCTTTTGTCTATCAGAGGTTGAGCTTTCTGACTTCTGACCACCATCAGATCTTCTCCTGGCTTCTGACTGCTTCTGATACCTCCTATCAGAAGTTGCTTTCAGAGTCTGCTGCTCTACTTCCCTTTCAGAAGTTCTTTCAGTCAAACGCAACTCTTGCGCTTCTAAACTGCTCTGCAGCTCTTCAATTCTCATGGTACTCAGATCTTTGGAATGTTCTATTGCTACCACAATGTAATCAAATTGAGAGGTAAGGGATCTCAATACCTTCTCAATGATTGTTTCTTCAGAAAGAGTTTCTCCACACGCCTTCATCTCATTAGTGATCAGAATCACTCTGGAGATGTATTCAGAAACTTTCTCATTATTCTTCATGTTGAGATTCTCATATTGCTTTCTCAAGGACTGAAGCTTCACCTTCTTCACTGATGCGTCACCACCATAACATCTAACCAGTGTGTCCCACGCAGCCTTTGCTGTCGTTGAATCTGCAATCTTCTCAAACACATTTACATCAACACATTGATGAATAAAGAATAATGCTTTCTGATCATTCTTCCTTACTTCCTTCTGCGCGTTTTTATGTTCATCCGTTGCATCTGCTGCTACCGGAACATAACCATCAGTGACAAGATCTAAAACATCTTGAGCACCAAACAGTACATGCATTTGGATCATCCAACGTTTCCAGTTTTTACCGTAAAATACTGGAAGCTTGGTGTTCATGTTGCCGTTTCCGTTCATCTTCACCTTGCACAATACACTCAATGTTTCTCACACAGTGTTTCCCAACCCACAGAATAAAATTTTGATCAGATTTTGTTCAAGATTCAACACGAACCTAAGAATCAAAATCAAACACACAAGACCTCAAACACACAAGACCTCACGTTCACTCGTGTTTCCCGTGTTTCCCAATGAATCTGAACCGAAGCTCTAGATACCAATTGTTGGTGCAAAGGTGAATAAATGATGAACAAAGAAAGGAAATATTCTATTAAGAATGACGGCTACAAAACATGATAATAGTTACAATGATTGTCACCCTATTTATAAGTTAAAACTAGGGTTACTAGAATAAGATAAAATACTAAAATACCCTCTAACAAACTTAGGGGCTAAGAAAATAGTATAACTAAATAAATATGAATTACTATTAATATTCTAATAAATGTGAGAGAGAGAAATAAAAACAACTAAAAAGAAATAGCTCAAGGAAATGAAAAAACTGATGATTTTTCGAATAAGGAAGATGATGATGCTTTGTTGTATATTCAATCTCAACTAACATGCTTTTTACAAATTCATATTTTGAATCAAGAGTTTGAGGTAAGTGAAGTGTTTTGTGAAGAAAATCAACAACTTTTTTTTTTTTATAAAAAACATTGTATTTTTTTTTATCTTAGGCTTTTTTTTATAAGAATCACATGTAAAAAAAGTAGTATTGTTTATAAAATACACTATTGAATTATTTTTTTGTCGTTATAAAAGCATTTTTTAAATGTTAAAATTGATTTTTTTTTCTTATACACTTTTTAAAGAAAATGAGAATTTTTTAAGCACTAAAATAATGGTTTTTTTTCTGGCATTTGTTACAAATAATATAAAAGTTTTTTTTTTTAATTTAAGAAAAATGCTATTAAAGTGATTAATTTTATTTATCATTATTAAAACTATATTTTCAAAGTTTTTTATTTATAGCATTGTAAATTTCTAAAATATATTTAGAATGATTATTTTTATTTTAAAATGTCTTGTTAATTACTTTTCGTGTTTTTGAACAACATTTTATGGTAAAATTATATTTGAAAACATGAGATTTGTACCTGTCACTTCTATCATTAAACAAGATATCCTTACATATTTTTAAAATAGTCAATAATGGCCATTTCATTGGAGGTTGAAATATGTCAGGTTGTGAAACAGTTTATTTAATTAGGTCATATCTAATTAAAAGAATTAAGGCTTAAGTCAGACGTTACTTGTCAATGATTTTATTTTGAGTTTGGTCTGATTTTTTTAAAAATTTATTTGATCTTTTAGTTTATTTAAAAGCCTGTTATATAGAGTTTGTATATCCAATTTTTTAAAAATTAAAAGAATTAATTATGTACACTTAGTTGAAAAGATTCATATTTTTTTCTTATGAATATAATTGTTTTTAAATCATCAAGTGTGATTGTTTCTAATTTTCATATATCATCAAGTATGTATTAATAAATAGGTATAAAACCTATGCATACGGGTGCAAACAAATATGTCCGCTTAGTTTTGGTCTAATAAGTAAAAGTTTGGAAAAAAAAATGAATGAATTGGACAAATATAATCGAGTATACAAGCCTAAAATTATAGTCTTTTTGAAAAAGAAAAAACACAGACATTAAATCTTTTAAATTTAAAAATTACAAAATTTTATGTTTAAATCTTGGTTTGCAAAAATCTATAAAAAAAATAGATCGGACATATGGTGGGAACCTAAAACCTTGACCTCTCGTGAAAATATACCAGTAAAATGAAAAATTCATGACGGGTCAAACCTATTTTATCATTCCTATCTATAAGTTTACACTAAATATATTAACAAATTCAAAAATAACCCCATGTATTTATTTCAAGTTTGTTCAAAAATATAGTATGTTACAAATTATTTGACATCGGATATTTTACAAATCCGATATAAATGCATACATTTGACACATTTATATCATATATGTCATATTTTCAATAAAATTTGATATAAATCTATCAAGCAGAAAAAATAAATAGTTTTCTTACTCATGTATATCTTGGCAATTCCAAACAAATACAAAATGTTTCAAAAGATTTTTGAAAAATCTAAAATATTTAATTTTATTTTTATAATTTCACTTTACTTTTGTTAAAGGATATTTTACTCATTTCATCCGATGTGTACGTTTAATTTGTTGGTAGATGTGGAGGGTATAATTCTTTAAAAAGACGTTCTTAAAGTCTAAATCCGAGGAGATTTTTAACACATTCTTTTCTTCTGTTAATTTTAATTTATATAAGAAATATTAAACTTAGGAGTTCCAACTAAAATTAATAATATTCATATAAAGTTAGGTTATTTCAGATAGGCATGGCAAGAAAATTCAGATCCGCTCGAATTCACTCTGTAATTAAAAGGAAAAATTTGATTTAATTGGGTGTAGGTAAATTTTAATTTTCTATTATGGGTGCGAAGACGGAGGATGCTACTACCTGTCCCGTATCCGACTCCAGTCCGTCTATTTTAATTTACTTTTATACCTCATTTTAATTATTTTATTATACATTTATTAAAGTTATTTTAATTTTTAGAAATAGTTTTATTAATGTAACATGTTTATTAGTTATTTTACTCTTTAAAAACATGTTTATTATTAAAATAATTAATTATTTAATTAAATTATTAATTTTTATTGTTATAAAAAAATATTTATTTTAAAAAATTAGTTTTGCAGGTGGAGGCTGGACGGTGGCGGGGAACCCGTTCTCCATTGGAGACCGGTCTGGGTGGTAGTTTTTTTTATCCCAACTGAACTGGTTTTTAAAGTCAAAAGTGTCTGTGTGGCGTTTATTAATTGATAGACTCCCGACTCAATGCAATTTGGTTCGGCGTGGAATTACCTTGAACCCTTATGATTGGGTATGTATGTTTTGTTTTAATACGGAAGAAGATGCTGAACATTAGTTTTTCAATTGTTATAAAACACATGATTTAGAATAACATTTGTGACTAGTTTGAGGTGAACGAAATTCTTGGGGGTGTGGGTTGTTATCACCTTGGTGTTTGGTGCGTTAAATTAAAAGGAAGTGTTGGTTTGTCAAGTACGGTAGATTATTGTTTACTGGTGTATCTGGCTGTTACAAAATCAAATTTTGTATAATAATGAAATAGTCGATCAGAGTTTTATTGTGCAGAGGATTATACTTAATTCTTAGTGGTGGTTACGCAAAGAACATAATCATAATTTAAAAGATAATTACTATGAATAGTGTAACTTTCCTTAGACATTCTTATAGTTTAGATGGTTGTAATCTATATTTTGACTATTTATTATTGGTTGATTGTATATGGATTTGGATACCCATAATATTCCTATTAGAATCAATTGTTGCTTATAAAAAAATATATATAAATGTAGGCCAATAATTTTTTAAAATTAATTGACTAAAAAAAAATGTTAAAAAACGTGTTAATAGCGTTTTTGTTATTTGTTTTATAACATGCAACCTTGAAACTTATCACTTTAACTTTAGGAAAATAAAAAATTTCTGCATTCCCTAATTATTACTTAGTACTCAAGGTGCATATAGAAAGTGATGGATGATTATAGTAAACACGTAACATAATCACGATATGAGTTGCTTCTAAACTAAGATCCTCTACTTAGTTAGGCCAATATTAAATCATTGAGTATAGGTCTCAACTCCAAAGGCATATCTAGGATCATGTGCCTATATATTCTGTTTAAACCATCCTGCGAAATTGCATACTTGCATAATCTTCTACTCATTGAAATACATTTACGTAAAAATGGATTTTTCATTTTGGATTGTATCTCTAATTTTATCGTCTTTAGCATCTCCGGCTTTCTGCGCCACCCCTCCGAGGCCCGTAGATGTACCGTTTGGTCGAAACTACGCGCCAACCTGGGCTTTTGATCATATCAAATATTTTAATGGAGGTTCTGAGATTCAACTTCTTCTTGATAAGTACACTGGTGTGTATACTACATGTTCCTTAAAAAAAATTATAGCTTATTTGTTATAGTAATTGTAAACTTGATATATATTACGTATTTTGAATTTGAACAGGTACTGGTTTTCAATCAAAAGGTTCATACTTATTTGGTCATTTCAGTATGAATATTAAGATGGTTCCTGGTGATTCTGCTGGAACAGTTACTGCTTTCTATGTATGTACAATTATTTTATAAGATTTTATTTATTAATTTTGTTTGAGCAAATTTTGCTGTGAGATATATTATTTGGCTTTGTTAATTATTGCATGAAATTTTACAGTTATCTTCTCAAAATGCGGAGCATGATGAAATAGACTTTGAATTCTTGGGAAATAGAACAGGAAAACCTTATATTTTACAAACAAATGTGTTCACTGGTGGACAAGGTGATAGAGAACAAAGAATCTTTCTCTGGTTTGATCCTACGAAAGCCTATCACAGATACTCCGTTTTATGGAACATGTATCAGATTGTGTAAGCGACGTAACTATTGTAATATTCCTCTAATCTAAAACAATCATGCTTAACCTATGATTGATTTGCTTGCAGTTTCTATGTGGATGATGTTCCAATAAGAGTGTTCAAGAACAGCAGAGATTTAGGAGTGAAATTCCCATTTGATCAACCAATGAAGATATACAACAGTTTATGGAACGCAGATGATTGGGCAACAAGAGGTGGATTAGAGAAAACAGATTGGTCAAAAGCACCATTCATAGCAGGTTACAAAAGTTTCCACATAGATGGATGTGAAGCTTCTGTTAATGCAAAATTCTGTGGAACACAAGGTAAGAGATGGTGGGATCAAGTTGAGTTTCGTGATCTTGATGCTGCGCAATGGCGAAGAATAAAATGGGTGCGGAAGAAATTCACAATTTACAATTATTGCAGTGATAGAAAACGTTTCCCTCAGATACCTGCTGAATGTAGAAGAAACCGTGACATTTAAATTTGTTTATATATTAAATTGTATTAAACTGTATCATTATTTATTGTCACCAGTGGTGCTTCTTTGTGTTCGTGAAACTATATATATTGGCACTTTTTCAATAAAGTAACAAAAATTTGCTACATCCCTTGACATTTTCAGGTTATTTTATAAATTAATAATGATGTTGAGATTTCTAATGTATCAGATAGCAGGAGACTGATTTAAAACACAATATTATCTTAACATTTTTTTTCATGTCTTGGTAGTTTTGTTTTTATTTGAATAACCTTTTGTACTCAAAGTTTCATATGAGTTATTAGAAAATGTTGATAGTTGTGTAGGTAGAAATTTCAACAACATTTACCTTCACCTATGGGGACCATAGACATATTATTTTATAGCATCAACATACTATATGTGAGAGAGTAAAGTTAATAAATCCTTTGAGTCGTGCTCTATTTACGGACGCTTTCCAAAATATTTGTAGTTAAAAAATATATTGTGATAAACACAGCACTAAACACGAATAAAATTATTAAAAATATTGAGTTTTTTGAACAACTATAAAAAATCTTTTTTAGATCTTCAAAAGAGAGAGAAGAGGGAAAAAGAATTAAAAGAATTGGTTAAAACTAATTATTTTTAATTAGGACAAAATAATGTTACAAGTGAATAATAACAACCAATGCTTAACCTCTCTCTCAACAACTTGAGAGAGCAGCTTATTTATAGACTACGAGTTAACTTGAATACTAAGTTAACTTAAACACTAAGATAACTTAACCAACTACATGCTAGAATAAGGTTCGATTACAGCATGCACGTCTTCAACTACTGCATGATTGAACAGATTTCGACTACATTATGCACAACTTCTATAAAAACATGAAGATATCCTGTGAGACTAGACTTCGAATAAATCCTTTAAAATAGTAGATATTTAATTTTACTCATCAAATAAAATTATTCAGCTAACCAATAAATAACATTGGCTTAATTGCAATTTTAGTTCTTCTATTTTACCTTTGTTTTGGGTTTTGATCCCTCCATTTTAAAAATAACGATTTTGGTCCTTTTTTTAAGTTTTGTGATGAATTTTAGTTCCCTCCCCAATTTGGAACTAATTTTTAATGATGTGACCTTAGTTTGCTGACGTGTCATTTTCATTAATAATAATTATGTCACATCATATATATTTATTTTTTATTTTAATAATAATATTATTACAATGAATAATTTTAATTTTATTACTTAAATTTTTTGAATTATCATGAATTAATTACTAAGAATTAGGTGGAAACATAAAAATTACCATAATATTATTAACATTTTGAATTAAAAGTGAATTAACATGAATTAAAATTGAATTAAATTACCATAATATCATTAACATTTTGAATAAAACTGAATTAACTTACCATAATATCATTAGTGTGAATTAAGTTACTATAGTTATCATAAAAGTTATAATGAACTTAAAGTAACTTAAATATCATTAACATTTATAATAATTATAATAACATACTAATTTAATTACAATTTATCACAAAAAATATATTCTTCTCCAAAACGTTCTTTCCCCAAAAACAAATTCTTCCCCAAAAAAACCCTAACAAATTGTGAATTTGTTATCTCTCCCCTATCACAATGACTTCCATTCTCTTTCAACAGAAAAATTTCATTTGGACTCATTGATGTAACTCACTGCATATCATGAGAGATTCATACATGCTTCAAGTTTTAAAATTCAGTTTTTATCCAGAGCCTGTATCAGCCGTACAACAACCGTTATCGTTGCAGTGAATCTCTCTTGGTCGTGAATCTCTTGTCTAGTATCAAATGAAGTGACAATTTATTGTTGCAATGGTTGTTCTTAGATCCAAAACCAGATAGAGAGGAGCAATGGTTTTCTATTTTAAGAAAGAACATAAATCTAAAGAAATATTTTGAAGTAGAGACAAGAACAACATGTTTTTTCCGTCTTGGGGAAGAACATACACTATGCCAAAAAAGACCTTTAGCAACGCATTTTTTGGCCTTTAGCAGCGCTTTAAAGCGTTGCCAAAAGTGGCGCTGCTAAAGGTAAAGGCAGCGCTTTTTTTATGGAAAAAGCGCTGCTAAAGGCTCTCTTCAGCAGCACTTTTAGCAGCGCTTTTATAACCCTTTAGCAGCGCTTTCATAAGCGCTGCATATTCCCCCCAACCATCCCCCCTTTAGCAGCGCTTTCACAAAGCGCTGTCTTAGAGCCCACCTTTAGCAGCACTTTTACAAAGCGCTGCCATAACCCCCCCTTTAGCAGCGCTTTTTAGAAGCGCTGTTGTAGACCCCCCCCCCCCCTTCCAAACCTATAGCAGCGCTTTTGTAGCGCAATGTTTGTGACCTTTAGCAGCGCTTTTTTGTAACAGCGCTGTCTAATGTCCCAGATTTTAAATTTTTTTTTTAAATATTCACCCTGTTTTGTATATTTACCAACAACCTGCTTATAATTCAGGCCTTTATTTCAACACTTTGGCCTTATATATACAATTTAAAACTTTGGCCTTAAATATACAATTCAAAACTTTGGCCTTATATATACAATTCAAAACTTTTGATACATTGTAACTCATCACTTTGTTCATAAACATTTTAATACACATAAACCTGCTTAAATATGTTACAACAAAATTTGATCCTCAGAATTACAACATCATAAATAAATTCAATTTACATATAATTACAATTCTTCCAATCCAATAACTTTATACAATTCTCAACCCAAGAATAAATTGACACCATTCCTCCTTAGCAATTATTTCGGGATATTCAAAACCGAAAATACCTGCGTCCATATGTATTTGACGGATGCCACCCTCAGGAACATCTGATGTTCCCACATATGTTTCAAGGCACATCCTAAATCGAGGAACAAATGCTTTTCTGGGCACCTTGGAAGTTTCAAGCATCTTACCCTTGCTGACTTGTTGCGACTGCTGATCATGAACCTAAAAGTCATATATAAGTTTAGTAATTAATGTATAACAAGATAATCATGTAACTGTAGTAGTACCTGTTTCTTTGATGCAGCTGAATCGGTATCCCGCACAATAATTCTATCATCTTTTGATTTGGATTTTGTAGGAGTCTAAGATCATCATGTAAATAAGAAAATGTAAATGTAAGAATAACTTTCATGTATGGATCATAAAATATTTGAGTATTAAAAGGTTCAACCTACCTCATCATCTATGCAAATGAGATTTGCCGGCCATGCCACATACGCTCCTATTGCGTCTCCCACCACTGTTGCGCCTGAAATATCATCTGGTATAGGCAACAACACACCCCCCCTCTAATGCAATAAGAATAGATACTTTCAAAAATCCAGAAGGGAGCGGTTTGTGGTGAAGTAAGTCTCCCAGAAAGTTATGCACCTTTCCCTTGCCAACCATTTGATGAGTAGGTGATGATAAATATAGTTGGCAAAGTGAAATGCCCTAAACAAATAATAATCAGTTAATGTGTCAATTAAGTAAACTGTACTAAATTAATTTCAATGTAATATATACAATTACCTCTGGAAGCTTCTACGGACAATCGATACTATCTTTGTCACTAGTAGCTTGACCCTCTGGAGCGCGTCTTTCCGACATGTATCTCTCCTTATCCTTCTGTAATTCACGGATTTGCGCTTTCAATTCCTCCAAAGTATCCATCACTTCTTTATTGGTAGGAATTTTTATCTTTGGCTGCTTATACAGTTTGGATGGAGTGACACCAAATCCCTTACCCCTCACATGCCCAGAATACTCAGGAATATTCAGCATCCGGCTCAGTAAGCTCCTGCAATCATCGTCTTCAGCGGGAGTTATGGTCTGGGATAGAGTCTCCTGAAATATAGATAAAAACATATATAAATATATTATACACTTTTGATCAATTACTGACAAAGATAACGTTGTACTTACACATTGTTCAAAGACTTGTTGAACTTCTTCCTGAACGACTCCATCTCGTCCCACACGGGCAGCTTTCCATACAACATGGTCCGGAAGAGATGTCGCATTACTCTTCTCCTCTTCCAACTACGCATTAAGACGGATAATAAAGCATTATATCCTATTATATATACTTACTATGTACTTACTATTTTTTGTTCTAATCGTGCATATCCCAAACAACCCTTTCTGTATGGATATGCGGGATTTGATGCTCGTTGACGATTTACGCCACTAACAACCTGAAAAAACAAGTTTATCAGAACTCTTGTGGAAGAAGTATATATACTATACATAGTTCATGATAAGTTGTACTTACTTCAAATTCTTTCATTCTTCGCTTTGCAACAAACGTCTCCCATTCTTCCTCCGAAATCAAATCCGCGTACTTCATTGGACGCTCCGAGTCAACAAAGTTTCCTTCAGAATCTTTTAGAAACTTGTTTGTTAAAAACGCTCTAAATCCCCTCAAGCGTTTTCCGGCCAATTGAATACCGTAACAATGGTGGAAATGCAATGCTGACGGACGGGTGCACTCGAAAACGGAAGGTGAACGGCGGCGCAATCCAACGAAAGAGGGCGACGGTCGGACGGAGGATGACGACAACAGAATGTTTGAATAGGGCAAGTTCGTTCGCCAGAGGAGAAAGAAAGAAGAAAAGAAATGTACGCGACTGTTCTGTTTCTTTCTAAATTCTGGAGGGTATTTTAAAATTATAATACTAATACCTATAGCAGCGCTTTTTAAAGGCCTTTAACAGCGCTTTAAAAAGCGCTTTCATAGGGTGCTTTAGCAATGCCATATAGCAGCGCTTTATAGAAAAAGCGCTTTCTAAGGGTCCCCCTTTAGCAGCGCTTTTTAAAAGCACTTTCATAGGGTCCCCCTTTAACAACGCTTTTTAAAAGCGCTTTCTTAGGGTACCCCTTTAGCAGCGCTTTTTAAAAAGCGCTTTCTTAGGGTCCCCCTTTAGCAGCACTTTTTTAAAAGCGCTGTCTTCGGTAGGCAATTTTTTTTCTTTTTTTTTTACTCACCCTTTAGCA